CCGCATCCTATAAATACTGCGACTTCCTGTACACTAGCAACCCTTTTCTGCAACTGTCTCTGATGATGGATTCAAGAGAGAATCCGAAACGTCAGGCGAATAAAGCCATTGTTCCAGCGATCGCTTCTTCTTCTGATCAACTAGTTCCTGGAACTCGCATTTTCGCTTGTATCGGCAGTGCTGAACTTGTTGAAGGGTTCAGCATTAAACGCCGAGGTTATTTTAAACAAAAGCGCCTTTCAGATTTCTTTTAGACATTTTCCTTAATGGTGTGCTTACATTAGCACAAAGGATGATTTACGACATCTGTTTCCTGTTCTCGCGCACAGCATGTCATCCTTCAACCTCGTACACAATTTTACAAAGCTTGGTGCTCCTTTAATGCTTTGTTTCCATATATTTGGATACACGGTTTTGTTCCGTCGGTATCTTTATTTGCCAATGTCTACATTTCCCTTTGGCGCGCATTGCGGATTAACGACATTTTGTTGTCTCGATTTCCCCCATTGTGCGCACATTTGTTTTTGTAAGCTATTTAGGTTTTTAGGTCCTTTGTAGGTATTTCATGTCTGGCTTTTAGGGTTTGAGATTTCTGATGAGAGATATAGTCCTTAGCTCGGGTGTGACGGTACTGAAAATCATTGAAGAAAGTTTCCCATATATTCCGACGTCTTCTGGTGTGGACACGAGCCTGAGAATGTTAAACTTTGACGACTGGCTTCCAAAAATGATTGCAGTAGCGAATTCGAAGGAGTCGTCAGACGACAGGATGTAAAATATCCGGCATACGGAAGAAGACGGTGACATCACAAACAGCGCTACTGTCCCCATAAGCGCTTGGATTTTGTTTTAGGCAAATGCCTGCGTGTTTTTTGTGTGTGCTGTGTGGAGTGGCGGACTGGTGGGCTGGGAGACGGGCTGAAACAGCACCTTCCATGGCCCTCTCACGCAAGTGAGGGATCCGCCATTCAACCCCCGTTGAGAGAAATCCTGGTGTGTGTGTGTGTGTGTGTGTGTGTGTGTGTGTGTGTGTGTGTGTGTGTGGGGATGTAGGGGTGTTAGCGGTGGGTTCACGTGATGGTCGTAGTGGTCGCTCACTTGCTTGCAGGTGAGACTACGCCTGGCGTCCATTTGCTGGCACCCAACTCTCACCTGTGGCTCCACGTAGCAGGGCTCTGCTCAGCGGCCACACCCCGGGCAACCGTCTCGACCGGCGGGCTAAACCAGGTGAGGGCGCTGTGCGCTTTTGCCGCGTGCACAGTGTACTGCGGACTCCGCTGGATGGATGGTCGGATGAAACACTGCGCCGGCATCGTCGAGACGAGGCTCTGCCTGGTACGCCGTTAGATAACTGCTGCCGGGACGGGTCTCCGCATCGCCTTCGCTGAGACGCGCCCACCCTCGCCGACGGAGACCGCGGACTCACGGCATATGCGGTCGTTCTCCACTACGAACATAAAAGTCGTGGCCCCATAGTGGGATCGGTCGCGCCAAACAGGCACATGGGCAGCCCGATTCAGGGGCGGCACTGCCTGCCCCCATGAGGGGAAGGGCCTAGAAAAGGTGGCCTAAACATTGCTGGGTACCACGCCGTCTCCAGGCTAGCCAGGGCCGCAGACGTCTAATCATGGTCGAAACAATCCAAATCGAAACAACAACAATACCAATAACAACAACAACCATACTCATTCTCCTCATCTTACCTCTTCTACCTCTTCCTCTGCCTATTCTTCTCCTTCGTCACCTTCTTCTCCATCTCCCTCCCGTCGCCCCACTCGTCGTCACCAGACTGGAAGGGTGTGTCCGCTCACTCTGGCAGCCTGGAATGTTCGTTCCCTTTTAGACAATCCGCGGAGCAACCGACCGGAAAGGAGGACAGCGTTCGTGGCACGAGAACTGGCGCGCTACAAGGTGGACATCGCCGCACTCAGCGAGACCCGTTTCTCCGAAGAAGGCCAACTGGAAGAGGTGGGAGCCGGTTACACCTTCTACTGGAGTGGTCGACCCAGGGCAGAGCAACGTGACGCGGGTGTCGCCTTCGCTATTCGGAACGACATCGTGGGACGACTGTCCTGTATGCCGCAGGGCATCAACGATCGCCTGATGAGCCTCCGCCTGCCTCTCCGGCGGGGGGGCCAATTCGCCACCATCATCAGCGCCTACGCTCCGACCATGACCAACCCCGACGCCGTCAGAGACAAATTCTACGAGGACCTGCACGCCCTCTTGGCGACTGTGCCGAAGGCGGACAAGTTGATTGTCCTTGGCGACTTCAACGTCCGCGTCGGCACAAACCATACAGCCTGGAGAGGAGTGCTGGGTCCTCACGGTCTCCGCGGCTCAAACGACAATGGTCTGCTGCTTCTCCGCACCTGCGCAGAACACCGCCTTATCCTGACAAACACGTTCTTCTGTCTGCCGGAGCGAGAGAAGGTCACCTGGAGGCATCTTCGGTCGCGCCAGTGGCACCTGCTGGACTATGTCCTAGTCCGAAGGCGTGACCAGCGGGACGTGCTGGTGACGAAGGCGATCGCGGGTGCTGACGGGTGGACCGACCGTCGCCTTGTCATCTCGAAGATGCGTATTCGCCTACAGCCTCGCAGGAGACCTCAAGGTAAGCGACCCCCAGGTAAGCTGAATGTTGCCTTGTTGTCCTTGCCCGCTCACCATCTCCATTTCAGCAATGAGCTAGCTCAACGGCTAGACAACCTCCCCATCGCCGATGCCGCCGCTGCCGAGAACGCCTCCGTGGAGAACCGCTGGTGTCAACTGCGAGACACGGTCCAGTCTACGGCGCTCACCGTCCTCGGTCGCGCTCCCCGCCAACACCAGGACTGGTTCGACGACAACGACGCTGCCATCAAAAATCTGCTTGCTGAGAAGAACCGCCTACACAAAGTCTACGTAGATCACCCCAATGAGGACAACAAAGCTGCCTTCTACCGCAGTCGCCGGCAGCTTCAGCAGCGACTGCGCGAGATGCAGGACGCCTGGACTGCTCGCAAAGCTGAGGAGATCCAAGGCTACGCGGACCGCAACGAATGGAAGAACTTCTTCTCCGCGATCAAAGCTGTCTACGGTCCGCCGACGAAGGGCACTGCTCCTCTCCTCAGCGCCGACGGCAGCACTCTCCTGACTGAGAAGACGCAAATCCTACAGCGATGGGCCGAGCATTTCCGAGGCGTCCTCAACCGCCCCCCCATCATCTCCGACGCCGCCATCGCCCGCTTGCCGCAAGTGGAGACCAACGCGGACCTCGACCTCCTGCCATCTCTCCAGGAGACCATCAGGTCCGTGCAGCAACTCTCCAGCGGGAAAGCACCCGGATCGAACGCGATCCCTGCTGAGGTCTACAAGCACGGAGGTCCCCTACTGATGGATCACCTGACTGCGCTCTTCCAGGAGATGTGGCGTCAAGGTGAAGTCCCGCAAGATTTCAAGGACGCAACAATCGTGCACCTATACAAGCGAAAAGGGAATCGCCAAGTCTGCGACAATCACCGTGGCATCTCCCTACTGAACATCGCCGGGAAGATCTTCGCTCGCATCCTGCTCAACCGCCTCAACAACCATCTGGAACAGGGCCTTCTGCCGGAAAGCCAATGCGGCTTCCGTCGTCATCGGGGGACCACGGATATGATCTTCGCCGCCCGCCAACTTCAGGAGAAGTGCCAGGGGATGCGGACCCACCTGTACTCCACCTTCGTGGACCTGACGAAAGCCTTCGACACGGTGAATCGTGAAGGACTGTGGAAGATCATGCAGAAATTCGGCTGTCCGGAGCGATTTACTCAGATGGTGCGTCAGCTGCACGACGGTATGATGGCGCGAGTCACTGACAACGCAGCTGTCTCAGAGGCATTCGCAGTGACTAAAGGAGTGAAGCAGGGCTGTGTGCTGGCACCAACCCTCTTCAGTCTTATGTTCTCTGCCATGCTGATGGACGCCTACCGCGACGAACGCCCCGGGATCCGCATCGCCTACAGGACGGACGGTCACCTTCTGAATCAACGGCGGATGCACTTCCAATCACGCGTATCCACAACCACCGTGCACGAACTCCTCTTCGCTGACGACTGCGCCCTGAACACCGCCTCGGAAGAGGAGATGCAACGGAGCATGGACCTGTTTTCCGCCGCCTGCGAGAACTTCGGTCTGATCATTAACACGCAGAAGACGGTGGTGATGCACCAAACGCCACCCAACTCAGCCACAGCCCCCAACGCATCGCCGCAAATCAGTGTGAATGGGACCCTACTGCAAGTGGTGGAGAACTTCCCGTACCTGGGCAGTACCCTCTCCCGCACCACCAAGATTGATGACGAAGTCGCCAGCAGGATCTCGAAAGCCTGTCAAGCCTTCAGTCGTCTCCAAAGCACAGTTTGGAATCGTCACGGTCTTCAACTGAACACGAAGCTGAAGATGTGCAAGGCCGTCATCCTGCCGACGTTACTGTACGGAGCAGAGACATGGACGGTGTACACGAGGCAGGCACGCCGTCTGAACCACTTCCACCTCAGTTGTCTTCGTCGCATCCTGAGGCTGAACTGGCAGGACCGCATCCCTGACACTGATGTGCTGGAACGAACGGGAATGCTCAGAATCTACTCCATGTTGATACAAATGCAGCTGCGCTGGAGCGGCCACCTGGTGCGCATGGACGACGAGCGGCTACCCAAACGACTCTTCTACGGAGACGTCGCGACGGGTTCTCGTCGTCAAGGAGGCCCAATTCGTCGATACAAGGATACCCTGAAGTCCTCCCTGAAGCTACTGCAAATGAACCTGACCAACTGGGAAGAGCTCGCCTGAGATCGTCCGGCATGGAGGAGAACAATGAAGACGGGCGCTGCTATCCACGAAGTCACCCGCATCGCCGCCGCCAAAGCGAAACGCGAAGCCCGCAAATCCCAACTGCGCCCAGTCAGCAACGCTGCCGCACAACTGCATCCAACGTGTCCTCGATGTAAGCGGACATTCCGGGCTCGAATCGGCCTTGTTGGACATCTTCGGATCAACTGTACCTCTCTAACTGCACCAAACTTCATCCCCCCGCCCGCGTCATCCACGTCCTCTCTGCCGCCGAATAACTCTGTAAATTCTTCTGCACCACCACTTCCATCCTCCTCCTCCTCCTCCTCCTCCTCCTCCTCCACCACCACCACCACCACCCCCACCACCCCCACCACCACCACCACCACTGCCCCAACGGCGGCCGCTCAGGCAGCCGTCTCGCACATCTCCGACCGCGACACAACAACCGGCACCACCCCCGCCTCTCCTAACTCCAGCAATGAGACTCAGGACTACACCTGCCCTCACTGCGATCGCACCTTCACCTCACGTATCGTCCTGGTCGGTCACTTGCGAATCCATCGCACAGAGACCGGCGAACCAGTGCCTGAAGCACCAACCTACACCCACCGCACTCGCCTCCACTGCCCACACTGCCCTCGCACCTTCACGCATCGCATGGGTCTGTTCGGCCACATGCGCATCCACGACGACCTGCGGTAGACAACCGCCGGTTACACCACACATCCACACACTCCCTACCTTCCTCCACCATCACCACCACACATCGACACGCACCCATCGCAAGCACCCAACTGCCACCTACCACGCATGCGGGAAGTGTGCATCTCGACTCGGTCCCGATGCGGCTTCGGCTGTACGAGTGACTTGAGTCCGAGTCTATCCCGACACGTCAAGCGTCGTGGATATTTATGTTGTTAATTGACGCCCGCTCTCGGCTCACGCAGTTCGTCACGTTCTGTGTGTGTTGTGTGTAGTGGCGGACTGGTGGGCTTGGGACGGGCTGAAGCAGCACCTTCCACGGCCCTCTCACGCATGTGAGAGTCACGCCTTTCAACCCCCGTTGTGTGAAATCCTGGTGTTTGTGTGTATGGGGGGGCCAGGTCATGCTGTGGCGCGCGCAGGCATGGCCAGTCGACCATGACAGCCACCGCGCCCATTTCCCACTCCAGTCTGCTGACCGGCTCGGACAGCGGCTGGGGTGCGGGAATGGGAAGGGAGAGTGAGGTCGACGACTCCGCGCACTTTCTCCTCACTATAATCAATCTGACGCGCTTGAAGCTATCCCGGTGAGCTAAAAGCCGTGGCTTGGAAGGTTGCCAACTGACGGGGTACCTTGGACCTCCTCCTTGACTGGTGGCGGTCTGAAAGTCAGGCTGCAATGGCTCCTTCTTAATGTGGCCTTTACGACACTCCCACCACAGTGTGGGATCCGAGCCAGGCGTTGGCGGCACGCCTAGGTGCGGCTGCTTCCGCCGTGCCAGCCTCCAATCTCTGTTGAGTTGGTGATAAACTTGGTTATTTGTTGTGTGGACCAGGAAGTGCGGATCCGTCCGAGCCATCCACCTGCGGCCTTCCTCGTCTCCGCTCTTCTTGACCCTGTCTTGACGCCGGACTCAGGCAGGGGGGGAGGAGAGAGTGTGGTATTTGCAGTGAAAGTCTACTGACACTATGAACCCCCGCGCAAGTCACCGTCACTGAGCCCACCACCTGTTGTGGGGCACACGGTGGGCATCGTCGAATACGGCAGTCGTACTATCTCGTGTGCGTGTGTGTGTGTGTGTGTTCGTGCTTAATCCCGCTGCGTGTGACTGGCATGCCAAATAGTGTATATGGCACGCGCAAACGAACCCTTCTCAGCCCTGCCAGCCACCTCTCTCAACCTCGGCATCATTTGAGTGATCCGGCTCAGACTGACGCACGCGGTAGGGTAGAGAAAGTGAGATTGACTTCTCAGCGCACCCTTTTTCCCCAATAAACAACCTAACGCGCCTCAGTTAATCACGCTGCTCTAAAAGCCTTGACATGGAAGCTTACCAACTGACGGGATAACTCTTACCTCGCAGTCAACCAAGTCTGTCTTTTGGTAGGAATCGCCGACTAGCGGACTGATACTCAGACTGCAATTATCCCATTTTTAATATGGCCTCTATGGGACGTACGACTCGTGGGATCCGATTTGCCCCCTCCTCTTCAACAACTGTTTGCAAAGTCCTGGCCAGGGGGTGTGGTGGTAGTCCGGGGTGTGGGTTTCGTCGCTCCAGCCACTTGCGCCCTCCCCTATCGACTCTGTCTTGACACCGGATACGGGCGGGGGAGGAGGAAGGAGTGCGGTAGGCTCTGCGCAAGTCAACTATCAATCTAAACTGACTCACGCACAAGTCACCCTGTCTGCTCGCACTGTCATGTGGAGAATACACTATTATTAATATTACTTGTTGGTGGAACGGACATAAGGAGGTTATCCCACAGAAGTTGATTGCTTCCAAATCAAGTTCTCATTGAAATTTCGGGGTTGAAATGCTCCGGGTACCTAGCTCCAAGTCCCACACTTAAAAATTTCTGAACCCAGAGATTTGGATCGAAAGAGCGCGGGCTTGAGCCACAGCTGCACCAAAATCCGGGGTTGGGTAAGAGTGACTAATCAGAAAAGGCCAGCTAATTCTCTCCTGCCTTTATAAGTAGTTTTTTTCGGCTAAAATGCTGATCCGGCCTGTTGAGATTGAAGCAGAAGGTAAGGATGGCTCTAAGAGGATCGTATGGCCATACAACGTTTCGCGCTCATGCTTGAGTACATCATCAGGGATATGTCCTCACTGCTTACTCTGCATAGGTCCGTCGGTCTCCCATTCAGTTGATTCCCCTTGCACGATTGTTGTCTGATGGCCTCGTATGGCGCTGGTAGGTCTATCCTATGGAAGATCAAATTTTTGTCGGATTTCCAGGCCTGAATTATCTCTCTCACCATCTTGCTTTCGGCTCAGCCGAGTAAATGTGCATTGTTGAAGCCGAATGAGTGATTCTGATGGGGACTGTGCATAGCGACATACGATCGTACATCTTTTCGCACTCGCGACGTTAACTGTATTCTTTTCTCCGTCTGCATCTGAAAACAACCTGGGGAACCAGAGTCGAGAATTTACCTAATAAAGTTTCTTGGGTCAGATGTGGTTAGGTAGCCGCACATGAAATAAACAAAACTCAATCACCTGTAATAGGGGACCGGTGCTAATAGGGGTTTTTAAAGATGGCACCGAAGAACACAAAGGCGACGAGGTCAAGTAAATGTATTCAAAAGAAAAGCCATTGGTAATGCGTGGTTGTACTTTGAGTGCTTGAGAAATAGTTGTATATTTGAAAGCAAATACGTTCTTTGGGGAAAAGAGAAACTTTATTGAGTAAATTTTCGACGTCGATTCCCCGTGTCGTCGTCAGACTCAAGCAAATGTGCAGAAAACAACTAACGTCTCAAACGTGCTTCAACCAGTAAGCTGCCATCATATGCGTCAGTCCGTATTGATCGGCTTTCGTCTCTTCCACTTTTCCCGGAGATGTTTGTACGTGGCATCTAACTCGATATGCCTGCTGATGTATATTATAACGTGGCCGACTTCGACCTGTTTGTTGGTTGCCTGCTCGTGACCTTTACCACCCATACGGAGCTTTCGGGAAGCCAATAGAGCGGTGTGCGCCAATTCCTGATTAAGCAAATACCCAATTTGCAACGGCAGAGAATGGCAGGCGTCGAGGCGCTGGCGTACTTCGGTTCGATAAAGTGCTTATGACCCATCTGCTAGACCCCGTCTGTGGACCATCTGCGCCGTGTACGAGCGCATGTTTGTGTTTTTGGTCCTCGATGCTGGTCCCGCAGTTGGTCGTCAGACTTGAGTAAATGTGCTAAAATAACTAACACTAAAAACGTGCTGAAAAATCGACATTCATAGACATAGACATTCTTAAAGTTCAATAGAAGCGAAGAGAAGAGTCCCAGGAAGCAGTCTTGAAGAAGAAGAAGAAGAAGAAGAAGAAGAAGAAGACACGATCGTCGGGACAAGAGCTTTATTAGCCTGACGTTTCGGATTCCTGCTCGAATCCATCGTCAGAGACATAAGCAGATAAGGGTGGTTCATGCACATGCGGCTGCAGTATTTAAAGGATGCAGTAGCCATACTACCGCATACCTCTGAATATTCACGGCTCCCTCCCCTTCATCAGGGATCGTTGCACGTGGCGTGATGGCCGACATTCGCGTCGTTAATTGCTGCAATTTCATCACGTGCGTTGGATGTTGGTGTGATGATTGCTCGACCATCTGACGCGCTGACCCGGGTGTTGGGAAGAGTGTTCAACAGTGCGCTCCCCGCGTGGCCAATTATTCCGCCTAGACGAAGTCTCAGCATGCTGTATTGAACGGGAAGATCATTGCACTTGTTAATAGACTGGGGGCCAGTAAACCATGACTCAAGCAGTTCCCAGCTCACGCGGTTGTCACTTCTTGCGAGAATTTCGGCCTCGTCAAATTTGAATGTGTGGCCGGGACCCGTCGAATGAGCCGCAACTTGAGAGCTGGCGTCATTTCTGCGCACCGCTGCAGCGTGTTCGGCCATTCGCGTTCGGTGCTGTCTTCCGGATTCGAGCAGGAATTCGAAACGTCAGGCTAATAAAGCTCTTGTCCCGACGATCGTGTCTTCTTCTTCTTCTTCTTCTTCTTCTTCTTCTTCTTCTTCTTCTTCTTCTTCTTCTCCTCCTTCTTCTTCTTCTTCTTCTTCTTCAATTCTTAAAGGTGTACAACGACATGCTAAAAATCTCGTTCTTGAACTCAATAATTCGACGTGCAAGCAGTACCTGACCGCCTAAAACCTATATTCTTTTCACTATAGACAAGACAGAGGTGACCTTACACTAACGTTTCGGTTACTACGGCGGCCTGATCTAGATGTGGACTGGGAAAACCTTTCTGAAATGGCACCGAAGATAAATCTTTGACTTGAGGACTGCAAACTTAAAAGAAGAGTTGTGTCACACCAATCAACGCTCCTTCCTTTGCCGATACAAGCGAAGATGCGGGTTCCAGGAGCTAGTTGATCAGAAGAAGAAGCGATCGCTGGAACAAGGGCTTTATTCGCCTGACGTTTCGCATTCTCACTTGAATCCTTCCTTTTCTCGCAAAGAGTAGTTCGGCAGTGAAATTCTTTACCTAAGCATATCATGCCATCTATTAACGTGAGTGTTTAATAAGTGTCTGGATGCCCACTTGTTAAGGGTCATCCAAAACTCCCCAAACCCCATCTGATGAGTAAGTGAATCGATTATAAACATGCTACTACTCTGATTTAAATAGGCCCTGTTGCTTACATCAACTTAAACATCGCCGAACTTTTTGCGAGCAAATAAAATGTTGTTCGCTCATCTAGCAAATCCACCAGCTTTTTCAACACTCCTGCTTCACCAGAAGTCTTACGCAGCTCGTATGATGAAATTGCCTGTAAGTCTTTGCAACTTAACTGTTCTTCGTGTAGACTTATATTTTTTTAAGATAGACTTTTCAAGGACCTCCGTCACTCGTCCCAAATACACTAACTTGATCTAAACACCAACCCCATATCTCGCTTTCAATTCGGGAGGGGGTATGTCTATGCACGCTCTCTCTCTCTCTCTCCTGTCACTGCTAGCTGCTGGATTACTTCCTCATCTAGACAGCT